CCGGCGAGGGGAGGCCTTCTTCCTCCCCCACCATGGGCCCCAGCTCCAGGGCTGGGGTGAAGAAAGCACAAAGCATTAGTTGCTGAAAGACCAGAAGAAATGGGGACAGCTCTGTCAGGGCAGAGAAGGACAGCTGGGGATCACAGAATGATGATATGAGTGGCTTCTGTTTACGGAGCTTGTACCATGCGCCCCGAGCTCCGGGAGGCCCGGATGTGTGACTGAAGTAATTGAACTTCGGCAATAACCTCAGAAAGGTAGTTGCTGCTTTGATTCCCTTTTCCAGCAGGAGAAACTGAGGCTGGGAAAGAGTAGTGACTTGCCCCAAGCCCTCATCTAGAAGGTAGGGGTGCCAGAGCCCGAGCCCCACGTCTGTCCAGCTCCGGTGGACGCAGACGATAAACAGAAACCCGCTGAGCTCCGCCCTGAAAGGCGGCGAACAGAGTCAAGGCCAATCCGGACGGGGGCTGCCACGGAGAACCCGCTGCCTTTGACAAAGCGGCTTCCCCTGGTCTTTGGTCCTCACCCTCTGCTCATAGCTCCCGTAACCGTGTGCAGTCCCTGTCTGCCCTGGCCACCTCTGGATCTCCGGCCTTTGCCCCCGACCGAAGACGCATCATTACCCACATCTGGTGCCTCCAGACCTTTCCGCTCCCTCCCCCGAGGTGAAGTCACAGCGAAAATGTGAAAATAACATCCAAGCTGCTTGGTAGAAGGGAGACTGGGTTTTGCCAACACAATGTGCAGTAAAAATATCTCTTAAAAGAGAGAGAGAGAGAAATTTAAAGACTGGAGCTCAGTAACATGTAATTATCATCTGGTTTGGGCGGAGAGTTCTAATAGTTTCCAGAAAAACACAAACCATGAAAAAGGAATGTGCTTTCCAAGGCAAAAAGAGATTTGGGCTCCGGCATGCAGTGGCCCCATCTTGGAACTCCTGTGGCCCCTGGGCCCTTCCCACGCAGAGGAGGGAGGCACCTACTCCCTTCCTCTCCTGGTTTGCCTTCCGCACCGCACAGGAGGCTCTGAGAATGTGCAGACTGCCCTTGAACTCAGCCTCGAGCCTGCTCAGGAGATTGGCTTTTGTGAGTGGCCATACCTACAGGCGCAGAGAGAGTATCCAAGCTCCTTCCTTGGGGGACCAACAGAGCCTCGAAATGGCAGGGACAGCTTGCTTTCCTCCAATACCTGTTGTCTCCTATTTTGAAATCATAGCCACCCCCCCCCCAATTTTAGCTCAGTGACCCAGAAAAAGCACCATCTCCCCTTGCCTTCCTTGCTGGGCCGTGGTACTAACGGGACGTCAGTTTCACGTGTGTGCGACTTAAGATACTTAGCCTTCTTCTTCTTCTTCTTTCCTGCTGGAAGGAATGCAAATGTGATGGCTGGAGCTTCAGCAGCCATCCTAGATCATGAGGCCAACCTGGGAATGGAGGCCACAGAGGGCAGAACAACAAGATAGCGAGGCCAGAGGACCCAACACCATGGTGTGCCACGCCAAACCGGGACCGCCTACCCTACTGTTATGGGAGAAAGAAAGAAGCATCCGCATTGTGTAAGCCACTGATATTTGGGTCAAAGACAATCTTTAGAGTTAAAATTACCTTGACCCAGCAATTGCACTACTAGGCATTTATCCAAGGGATACAGGTGTGCCGTTTCGAAGGGGCACATGCACCCCAATGTTTATAGCAGCACGATCAACAGTAGCCAAAGTATGGAAAGAGCCCAAATGTCCATCGATGGATGAATGGAGAAAGAAGATGTGGTCTATATATACAATGGAGTATCACTTGGCAGTCAAAAAGAATGAAATCTTGCCATTGGCAACTTCGTGGATGGAACTGGAGGGTATTACGCTAAGTGAAATTAGTCAGAGAAAGACAAAAATCCTATGACTTCACTCATATGAGAACTTGAAGAGACAAAACAGAGGAACATAAGGGAAGGGAAACAAAAATCATATAAAAACAGGGAGGGGGACGAAACAGAAGAGACTCACAAATATGGAGAACAAACTGAGGGCTGCTGGAGGGGCTGTGGGAGGGGGATGGGCTAAATGGGTCAGGGGCATTAAGGAATCTATTGAAATCATTGCTTCACTGTATACTAATTTGGATGTAAATTTTAAAAAATAAAAAATAAAGTTAAATTAAAAAACAACAACAACAACAGCAAAATTACCTTGAAAACCTCTTAAACTGAGAAACGCAGTTCAAGACAATCCAGATCTTTTAAGTGAGAACCCCACCCCACGCGCTGAGACACTCCCAAATTCCAGACCTGTGATGGAATGCTAGGGAATGCCTTGGGTTTTTGTTTTTGTTTGTTTGTTTGTTTGTTTGTTTGTTTCTGGTGCCTAAAGTTATATTGCAAAGATGCATCACGTCACATTTTCCAACTTTGGCCGCCCTTGAGAGCACCGATTAAGTGTTAGATGGGATGTGCTTTATCTGATTTATTATCTCTGTTTTATCATTAAAGAAACCAAGGCCCAGTGAGGCAAGGACCCAGAGCTAGGGAAGGACAGGGCTGTAGCTGGGACCCGCCCGGAGAAGAAGGCACAGTCCTTGTCTAGGTGCACCTCCCAGGAGTGCTTGGCTTTTCTACTGGTTCCTTCCTGCTGCTCCAGAGCCAGTGTGCAAGCCCCACGTGGCTTCAGGATGGGGCAGGGAGGGATGGGGACACAGGGAGACAGGGGCATGAAGGGACAGAAAGGGGCCATCCAGGGGCGCCTGGGTGGCTCAGTCGGTGAAGCATCCGACTTCAGCTCAGGTCATGATCTCACGGTCCGTGGGTTTGAGCCCCGCGTCGGGCTCCGTGCTGACCGCTCGGAGCCTGGAGCCTGCTTGGGATGTTGTGTCTCCCTCCCTCTGCCCCACCCCTGCTCATGCTCTGTCTCTCTCTGTCTCAAAAATAAATAAAAAACACTTTAAAAATTAAAAAAAAAAAAAAAAAGAAAGGGGCCATCCAAACACTGTCCAGACAGACACAGGCCATGAGGGTGCCAGCCTCCACCACTGAAGCACAGCTCGACCTTCCAGAAGCGAATCTGACCCTCAGGATTCAGCCTGACCTGCAACCCTACATAGGCGCCCGGCTCCAGGCTGGGGTCTCAGGCCTCTACCCTAAGAGGTCAGCAGCATGCAGGGAAGGAGCCAAAGAGCCCGGGTAAGAGAGGCCAGGGAGGATGGGCGGGAAGCCCGGAGTGGGACCGGAGTGGGACCAGACGGAGTCGGGGTTTCCCTGGGAGATGGTGACGGGTGGGAGGTCCCCCTACATCAATGAGACCACGAGCGGCCCCGGGGGTCCAGGTTGGTGATCGAGCGCCACCTGGTGGCCCGTCGCGGCACGGCGCCCCCCCAACCTCCCAATGGGGGCTACCCCAGAGCCTCCTCCCTGAGGGCGCCTCCGCAATCACCCTCCACACCCCCGTTACCCCGCATTTAAAGTCAATATTGCCGATTCCTAGGCAGAAACAAGTTTTCGGTTTTACCCCAAAGAGGAACAAAGCACTATAGTAATTTCCTGTTGCTACTGAGCGTCCCACGAGGCAAGGGCAGGGCTCAACGTCCCCTGGGACGCACGCCCCGCCCCCAGCGCAAGGCTGTGAGTGATCTGGGTGCCCTGTGGGCGTAGGGACTGTCCCCAGCTTGCTCTGCAGATACCGCTCCAGGTGAGCCAGCCCCTCCCTGCCCAGACGTGCAGGGGCAAAGTCCCCCGAGGGCAGGGCTAGACCCTCCCCAGGCCTCTGCCGCTGGGACCCAGAGCCCAGAGACTTCCAGGGCTGAGTTCTTGCCCCTCCTGGCCGCCTGGCGACTGCAGGCCCCGGTTTCCCCTTCTACTACGTGGTGAAGAACAGTGGCTCGGAACTACCTGGGAGTCAGCGGCCCCTTTGAAATAAATGAAAGTGATGGGTCCCTTTCCCGGGTATGTGGGTGCCTAGCTGGGCTCATGAACGGAGATGGCACCCGGGCATCTGGCCAAACTGTTCAACTGGCTCGTCCCCTTTAGTCCTCGCTAAAGGAGATGCAGCTACTTTTTCATTTAGCCCCGTTTTACAGATGAGGCAACCGAGGCACAACTAGGTTCAGTAACTTGTCCAAAGTCGCACAGCCAGTAAATCGTGGGGCTGGATGAGAACCCAGCCTTGGACAAGTGACCCCCTCTGACCTAAGCCTCAGTCTCCCCTCTGAGAAAAGAGATCAGGATTGGCCCGTCCCCTGGGGCAGTGAGAGGGGCATACAAGATTGGAAAGCATATGGTAGATGCTCATTAAAAAGAGCTGTCATTGTGATACACACACGAATGGTTCCAGGTTGCCTCGGCCCATGTGTGGGCACCAGGGTGGGCCGCGGTGGGCGCCCAGAAGGTCCGGAAAGCCCCGTGTTTCCAGAGAATGCTCCGGGCTTGCCAATCTCAGCTCCTTCCTTCCAGCATGTAGCCGGAGGCCTTGCTCATCGATTCTGCTTTCAATTTTGTTTCTTCCTAAAGCCACACACAGGAGTTTCGTTTTCTTTTTCACCAGAAAGCCGATCGGGGTGACTAGGCCTGTTTCTGGAGCGTGGACAGCAAACACCCGGCCAGCTGACGTGTCATCCCTTCGCAGCTGCGGACGCACCGAGTTCAGCCACGCAAGCACCCCTCGCCTCGACCCGGCCCCTCCTCTCCGAGCCCCCGTGCGGGGGCCTCCCGCGCTGTCCCCAGGTCTCCGGGCGTCTCGCGGCGGCCACCAGCATGGCCCAGGCCCCCGAGGACCCTGGAGAAACAGGTACTTTCTTCCTTCTAAGGCATAGTGGGGGTTCCCAGTGGGACTTTTACTTCTCTTTCTGGCTCCTTTCCTTGGCCGGATCACAGCAACGGTAGCCGACCACACATCCCTAAGCGCAGGGGTCAGGAGAGAAGAGGCGGGCCCAGGGACCGGTCGGGGAGGACCTGCTCTGCCCCGGTTAGTACTGTCTGCATGCATTTCAGGAGCCCTCAGGGGCCAGCGCTGTGAAGTTTGCATTTCATACAGGAGATCGTTGCGTCCGGCCACCACAGCCGACACTGGGCTCTGAACTCGTGTTCATTTTAAGAAATAATGAGTTGTTTTGAGAAGAGGCGTCCGGGGACACCTGTGGTCCCCTTCTTCCTCAGATACCCCTTCACTCCTGGAAGAACAGACCAAGGAACCGCATGCTGAGCAAGTGCTGTGTGCTAAAGGGCTTGTGGGCTGTGGGCTGTGGGCGGTTTTTCGTTTTGTTATCATTAGCTCATTTACTCCTCACTACAATCTTGGAGGTAGCTGCCCCCTTTTTTTTTTTTTAATTTAAAACTGTTTTTTTTTTAAATTTACTATTTTTTGCATTTATTTATTTTTAGAGACAGAGAGAGACAGAGCATGAGCAGGGGAGGGGCAGGGAGAGAAGGAGAACATGAATCCGGCTGCTCCGCGACACACACAGACAAAAAGGCGGGTTGTCCGAACCATGACACATGAAATGAGATCGCGACCCGAACCGGGATCAAGTCGTGCTTTAGTGACATGAGCCAGGCCCTAGGCCTTCTTGTGCCCTTATCCCCTTGCAGATGGGAAAAGTGGAGAGGCCACAGAGATCCACGATCAACTGCCTGGCAAGGCTGGGGGCTCAAACCCAAACCAGCCGTCAGGGCTCCATCAGAGGAAAAAGCAGCTGTGCCTGTGGGAGGGTGCTACCTGCACGGTGCAGCATAGGCGGCGGGGCTGGTTCAGGTTTCTGTTGTGGCGTAGCCTGTCCGGGACACGCACGTACCACTCACCTAGTTGAGCACTTAATCTTCCCTTCCAGGTTTATCTTTCCTTCACTTGTTCCTCCACCTCATCCGTTTGCAACTTCCATTAAATTCATGGAGAGATTCAACTAGCCAGAGAGGTTCCCATGCACAAGAGAGCCAGCCAGTCTCTGCATGGACTAAGGCTCACTGACCTTCTTGGGGTGGAAGTGGAGGGGGAGGAGAGCCTACCCCAGGGGCAGGGTTTTTGAGAATCAGAACTCTTCCAGACGAGGGCCAGAGCAGGCTGCTGTTGACCGGCCTGGGGCCTCCAAGCTGGGGCAGAACTGGCAGTTGAAGGGGTGGGTGGTGTCCCCAGGGTGTCTCTCATCTCTTCACACCGGCGGCAGAGGATCGCACATGTTCAGACACAGTTGGGTCTTTCTCGGCCCAGCTGTGGGAGGCAGCAAAATGCATCGCCCCTTCCCCTGATCAGTGTTGCCCAGGCCAAGGAAAACCCGAGAAGCAGATGGGTGCTGGGTTGCAAGGCCCGGTCTTCCCTGGGAGGTGGTCTTGCTTGTATTTCTCTTGGCACTTGGGGACAGATGTTTCTGTAGCAAAAGACATGAGGCGGCCCACGAGGGGCTCCTCCCAGCTCAAGCTACAGCACCACTGCATTTGCCTGTTTTCCTCTCTGCCCACAGAGCTACCGCAGCCTGTAGGTTTGTGGGAGCCTGTCTGAGCTCAAACAGGCCTACAGAGCCCTGGGCTTCTGTTAGAGTCGTTAAGCTCAGGGCGGAACAAGAACCGGAGGGACTGCCCTGTGCCCTGCCCCTGAGTCCTCTGGGCGGAACACCTGTGATCCCAGCTTGGTGGAGCCACTGGGTCACCTAAGCTATGTCTAAATGCTGTTTCCTTGAGCACCTGCGTTTGCCCAGGTGCTGTGCATTTCTCAGAGAGTGCTACGTGAACCAGCAATCACAGCAGGGGTCCCGAGCCATTCGTGCAGTGGCCCCACCGCTACAGCAGCACCACTCCCCGGGCATCCACGGCTCACTCCCGAAGAGATGGCAGTGAGCGAGCACCGGGAGGGAGTGGGGAGCGTAAGAAAAGAAGAGAGGGGGTGCCATGAGAAGGGGATTAATTAAAAGGCCCGGGGGTGAGAATGCTGGAAGAGCAAAGGGCTGTCGAGGAAGGTCCTGGTGGTGGAATTAGTTGACTGGGAAGGGATCCGTGCCGGTGGTGGAATGCCGCCCTCAGGGAGAGACGCGGCCGGTGGGGGATGGGCGGTGGGGGGCAGCGAGGGGAGTAAGGAGACCAATGAGAGCGTGGGAACAGTGTTTCTAGGCCTCTCTGACCTGGGCTGGGGAGAAAGATCCGTTTCGAAGTGTTCTTAGCTTTCTGGCTTGATGACCACCACCACTGACGTGAGGGGGAGCCCCCAAGGAGACGGACAGAGTAGGTAGCAGGGGTATACCACAACAGGCCTCCCGGAGGGACATCTGCCTCCCCTCCGCTTCTTCCTATGCTCCCCTCAATCACTCACCCTCACACCACCCTCAGGCTCCCCTGTGTTCTGAGGGATGTCTAGGGCTGAGTGCTCCCTCCCCCACACCCCGCTCCCTTGCCCGCTCAGCTCCGACACCAGGCATGAATGTTCAGAAGGCTGGGAGTGTACTCTGGCCATCAGCCTGTTCTGGCCAAGGTCCTTTCTTCCTTTCTGTCTTTTTTTTTTTTTTAATTATTTTTAATGATTTATATTTTGAGAGAGAAACAGGAGACACGAGCAGGGAGGGCGCAGAGAGAGGGAGACACAGAATCCAGAGCAGGCTCCAGGGCCTGGGCCATCAGCACAGATGCTCCGAGCTTAGGGGCACTTGACTCACAGACTGTGAGATCGTGACCTGAGCCGAAGTCGGACGCTTACCTGACTGAGCCACTCAAGTGCCCCTGGCCAAGGTCATTTCTGAGCAGCCCATCTGCCCATCACCGAACAGAGGCGTTGTTAGTGAATGTCTGCTCGGGTCTCCGCCCCTGCCTCTACCCTGGACCCCTCGCATGGGGACCCCCCCGCCCCGAGCTTCCGGCCCTGGCTTGATCCAAGGGAGGCTCCGTTCTCTCTCTGCCCCCCTCTCCTTCTCCCAGACCTCGAGCAGAGGATCCTGCGGGTGCTGAGGGACGCTGGCTCCCCTGTGAAGTCCGTCCAGCTGGCAAAGGAATGCCAAGTGCCCAAGAAGAAGCTCAACCAAGTCCTCTACCGGATGGAGAAGGAGTCGAAAGTCTCCCTGGCGGGCCTGGCGATGTGGCGCCTGGGCGAGGGAGGGACCGGAGAAGTGGTCCCCACAGAGCCGGCCCAGCTCAGCCAGGGTAACCTGCCCCCCGGGGGTCGGGGTGGGCCCAGCGCGAGCAGTCCCGGCAGCGGACGAGCAAGGTCCCGGCCTGGGTTCAAATACGGGCCCTGCCCCTCGAAGGTGCGTGGCATCCCCTGGCCGTGCCTTGATTTCCTTTTCGGACCGCCGGACGTGACAGCAGGCCTGGGGTTGCCAGGGGGCGAGGCGGAAAGGGCCCAGCCTCCTGACCGCGCGCGGCAGGCACTCAGCAGAGCCTGAATAGTGACGATATGGGCACGACGACGATAAGAATAGAACAGACCTAGCTCCTCCGTGGTTCTGCAGGGCAGAGACCAACAGGGCCGGCTTTCATCAGGCGCCCACAGCGGCTGACGGTGGAGACGGGTGGAGGGCACGCCTGCTCTCTGCCCAGAGAGCTGGGTCGGCCGAGGAGAGGCAGGGCGGGTCTGGAGGCAGACTTGTTCCGCCCTGGACGCGGAGGCCGGCTCTCCCTCGTGCGGAGGCCGCCTTGGTCCCGTGGAGACCCCGTCCCCTCTCCTGCCCCTCCACCCCCCACCCACCTTTCTTTCTCCAGCGGCGAGGCCCCAGCGGGACGCAGCCGCGGTTCCAGAGGAACCTGACCCTCAGCTCAGCGAACAGCGTAAGCACCCCCGTTTCCTTTCAGCTGCCGGGCCCCGGGGCCCCTGACCCCAAACCCTCCTGGGCCCCTCGAGATGTCACTCGTGCCCCACCCACCGAGGGGTCCCCACACGGTATCCGGGGGGGAGGTTCAGCCCGCACAGCGGAGGACGCGCGTGGCCAAGGCGCCATCTCTCCGATCAGTGGCCCACATCCGCTGCCCGTCGGCCCCCGAGCCACAGAACGACCTCCGTGCTGTGATATTACCACGTCCTGCAGACGGGGAAACTGGGTACAGGGGGTCCGGGGCTCCCCCACGTCTGCACAGCCAGCAGACAGTGGAGCAGACAGATTCAAGCTCCGGGGTCCCCCTTAACCACCCACCGCCCTGCCTCACAGAGAAAGCCATCTATAGGTTTCTGGAAGGCGCTGGGCCCTGTAAGGCCCTGATCATCGCCCGGGCCCTGGGAATGAAGACAGCAAAAGAAGTCAACCCACACTTGTATGATATGAGAAAGAGGCACCTTCTGAGTCTTGATGAGAAATCAAGTCTATGGTCGATTTATCGACCAGGTAGGTCCCCAGGTAGGTGGGGCAGGGTGGTGGAGAGAGAGCGTAACATCCGACGCTTGGTCCTTGCCTGGGCGCCCTGCCAGCCCCACCTTCCTCGCCAGACCTTCACAGAGGCTTGCAGGGGTCTTGCGGATGGATCACTAGGAGGGGGCGCCAGGAGGGCGGGTGTGCTGGTGGGAGTGACCAAGGAGGGCTTCCTGGAGGAGTGGCCCGAGGTTGCAGCTGCAGAAAGCAAGGGGCCAGGAAAGGAGGTGGCCCGCTCCTAACTGTCTCAGCCCCGGGATGTGGGGCTCACCCTGAGTTTGCTAACAGTTTTCTCTCAGCACTTTGCCCAACGTGCAGTTTCGAAGCTCCTGGAAGGGAAGGCTGGGCTCAGACACCCACAGGGTGGGGTCCCGGGTGACCCCTCCACCAGGTGCAGCGGGCGCGGGGCCCCGCATTTGGGGTCCACGAGGACGTTCTAATTTCTCTTACCATCGGAAGAAAAGATGAATATTGTAATAATAATAAATGGTTAATCACGACCCCAGCTTAGATTATATTTGTCTCTCATCCCAACACAGTCGCGAAATGTAATTTTGAATATTTTTATGGAGAAAGGGACCCACAGAGACACAAGAGCTCAGGGGCCACAAACGTGGGACGTGACCCTGTGTGCGGAGGCGGCAGAGGCCCCGGCAGGTGCCCACCTGGCCCCCATGGGACTGACACCCAGCTCACGGCCCCCAAAGGGGGTCTCAGCGTCCCTGGCACGGTCGCATGTGACAGGGCCAGATCTTAAACACTGGTGAAAACTCTGAATTCTTAAAAATGTCCAGTGAGCCAAACAAAGCTCATCCAGTGGCCAGAAACAGCCCGTGGATGGCCACCTTGCGGCCTTCTCTAAAGGGAGAGGGGTCCTGGGGCTCAGGGGACGCCCGCAGAGGAGGAGGTGAGCAGTGAGGCGCCCAGGAGCCTCCTGAGGTCAGCAGAAGACGCACAGATAGGGTGACCCGCTGTGGTGACGTCCAAGCAAGGCTCATCTGAGACCCCTGCGGGGCTTGTTAAACACGACGGCTCCTGGGTCCCACCTTGGACCTACTGACTCGGGACCCCCCGGGGGAGGGGGACGTGGGGGAACCTGTGTTTTAACAAGCTCCACAGCGGATTTTGTCACAGCCATCGGTATTTGGAACCCCCGGAGAGGTGCAGAGGGCTTGGGTGGAATATTATTTTGCAGATTGTGGAGGAAGAAGCGAGTCCCCCGCGATTATTTACCAGCAAAATCCAATCAACATGATCTGTCAGAATGGACCAAATAACTATATTTCCATTGAGAACTCAGAAGACATCCAGATTGGACATGGGAACGTCATAGTGAAGCCAACCGCCTCTGGGGAGAATGGTGAGTCCTCTCAGAGGCACCCTCAGAGGGACCCGTAGGGGCACCTACTCCCTCTGGGTGGGGGCCGAGAGGGGGACATTCAGCCTTTTTTATTTTTTAATTTTTTTTTAATGTTTATTTATTATCGAGAGACAGAGAGAGCATGAGCGGGGGAGGGGCAGAGAGAGAGGGAGACACAGGCTCCAGGCTCCGAGCTGTCAGCACAGAGCCCGACATGGGGCTCGAACCCCTAAACCACGAGATCATGACCTGAGCTGAAGTCGGACGCTTCACCGACTGAGCCACCCAGGCGCCCTCCAGGACATTCAACCTTTGAGGAGAAAGGGCAGCTTTCACATCTCCAAGGTCATCCCTTGTGGCCTTCCTGATCATGAGGAAGTCTTCCTGCACACCTGGATCAAACCTCTCCTGCTCTCTCTTCATCCCGATAACCTTTTGCCTCCGTTTCAATGGGATCTGATATTTTTCGATGAGACATAGCTTGGTTCACTCTCCTCCAGTAGAATGTCACAAGGGGTCATTGTAGTATTTTGTTTGTTCTAAGACACCCTTTCCCCCCACATTATAACGGCTTAGAAACTGGGATGCACCTGGCCAGTGGTGTCCTAGTTTTGATAAAATACAATCCCGCAGAAGAGTGTTTATTCCATGCCAGGCCCTGGGGTGAGAGGGGACGGGGCCACCTCTCGGACCAGCCGTGGAACACGAGGGACAGCATTAGCCCGAAAGCTGGAATACTCCCTGTGACCTCAAGACAGCCCTTCCCTACCCTGGGCCTTGGTTTCCCCAACTGTGAAATGAGGAACTTTGTTTTAGAATCTGGATCAATGGTTCCCCAACCTTAGTCCTCCCGTGTCGGATTATTTTCTTCATGTTGTTAAATGGTTTCCCTTTTTATCTACTCAAATTTATTTTATGATTTTATCTTAAATCTTTTAAAAAATGTTTAGTTTTGAGAGAGAGAGAGAGACAGACAGACAAAGGATCCAAAGTGGGCTCTGTGCTGACAGCAGAGAGCCCGAAGCGGGGCTCGAACTCAAGAGCCGTGAGATCGGGACCTCAACCGACTGAGCCACCCAGGCGCCCCACTCGAATTTATTCTAAAGTGAACTTTTATAGCACTACCTGAAGTTAAAAACCAGGCGGTTTACCATGAAAATAAATACTGAGAAAATAAAGTAATGTCAGGGCTCTAAATGCTCAGTGTTGAGGGGGTGTTAAAGATATGCCAGCACCTGAGGACACCTGCCCCGGTGGGGTCAGAGGGTGGAGGGCACTAGGGGGCAGAGGCTGTGCTCACTGACTGGGTTTTCGAGTGCCCGGGTGACGCCAGGCGCCAGTCGTAAAAACCCGGGGACCCCCACACTGACTGTTCTGCTGGGCCCCCCTGCTCTCCATCAATTGCCTGAAATGCTCATTCCCAGTCTGGCAGGGGCCACAAAGAATTCAGAGGCCTGTCTTCTCCGTCCAGCCAGGACTTTGTATGTATGTGTGTTAGGGAGGTGTGGGCAGAGGGTGGGCGTCAGAGGTCATGTTGCTGTGTCCCCTGCTAGGTTCCGTGGCTCCCCTCCACCTCCCTCCAATGGCACCAGCTGATCCCCCGACGCAGAGTTCCCCGGCTGCAGCCTGGGCGCCCCAGGACATCCGCTTGGAGAAGTCTGTGCTCAGACGGGTGCTGCTGGGACATGGCAACGAGATGAGCCTTACCAGTGCCCCGGCCGAAGGCCCGGCTGCCTGCGGCCCCTCCGGCAGCCCCCCAGGTAACCCATCCCGCCCCCACCCCACCCCATTCAGCCCCTCGCTGCACGGAACATGAGCCACTCTTTGCGGGGAGAGAGGCATGATGGGAAACTCCTTTCTTTCCCCCAGGAGGCTGTCCCACAGAGGAGAGCAGGTGGGGTTTTTAGAGCTCGCACTCAGGATCCCATTCCCCACCACCACCCCCGCTCAGGAAACCTCAGTTTCTTCATCTGTACAACAGACACAGGGCAGCAGAGGCCAGACCAGCTGAGGCAGAGTCAGAGGAGATGGCCAGACTGGAATGGCATCTAAGGAGGGTAGACAGGAGTCATCTGAGTACCCGATGCCCTACTAAGCACTGTCGATGGTGACCAGAGAGCCCAGGCTAAGTCGTCCCCAGCCCTGGTAGTCCAGAGACAGGCCAGGGATGAAAGACAGCAAAGAGGCCAGGGAACACCAGGAGGAGAGTTTCCAGAAGTGGGCAGGCCGATGAGGTCGGGGAGCTCCGTGGGGACCGGCAGCAGCGGTCGGTGGTGACCTGAGGACACAGAGGAGGTGTGAGTAGGAGGAGGGGAGACTGTGAGCAAGTCTTGTCCAAAGTTTGGATAGGAAAGGGGCCAGGTGGGGGCTGGGGGAGGCTGGGGACAGGCTATGGGTGCATGCAGGTTTTAACCAAAGGTGGAGGCGGCATTCCGGAGCTGTGGGGAAGCCAGCAGCAGAGACGGGAGCAGGCGGCAGGAGGGGGCGGTGGCCGAGTCCCAGGGGAAGGGTGCAGGTGGCACCTGGGGGGCAGGGACCGCCAGCAGTCCAGGCTGTGTGCAGAGGCACCGAGGGAGGCAGGGTCTCTGCTGTGGACCAAGCCTGGTCTGGCCCACCGGGGGGACCTTCAGGGAGGCGAGCGGGCCAGGGAGGACTTGAAAGCCAGGCTGGGGGGTCAGGGTTCGGGGGCCACCATCCAGCTGCTTGTGCAGCCCTCCTGACATCTCTGTCTCTGACTGACCCACAGTCTCTGCCACCACTGTTGGCTCAGGAGCTTCGTTCAAAATTCCAGGGTCCAAACCAGGACCTGACTGCAAGGCAGATGGGATCCAGAGAGTCCACATCAGTTCATGCTTCCTTGAGGACACTGCCATTGGCAACGGCAACAGAATGACTGTCATCTCAGGGACAGCTGGTCCAGGAGGAGTTGCAGAGCCTGAGGACAGCAGAAGGGGCCCTGAGGAGCTGGACAAGGATGCAGGTGAGCCTGGGACAAGGTGGGCCCTGTGTTCTCTCTCTCTCTTTCTCTCATCCATCCATCCACCCACCCACCCACCCACGTACCCACCCATCCTCTACCCATCTCTCCATCCCCC